ATAGTGCGTGACAGTTTTGGATTCACAAAATCTATATGTGTAACATCGAGTTGTCCCCCCACTTATTTACTTACCCCCTAGGTATTAGTCAAATATTTAAATAGATCTCTAGATAAAGAAAAAAAATAAAAAAAATAATAATTTCTATTTTTTCCATCCAGCAAGACAAATTAAATAGTAACATTCATTCCATTAAAGAATATAGTTTTTTCTATTAAATGCCTCCCAATAAAAACAATAATAATAAAAGAAAGAAGGAAGATAGTATACTTGAGAGAAGCGGGTAAGTGTTTATCATAAGAATGGTGGCTTTTGCCATTCGTCATCACTCTATATAATTAATTAAAAAAAAATTTGTGCTAATATCCTGTTTTCAAATATGCTGATAGTAAAAAAACTATAGAAACACATATCAAGGTCGGAAAAATGGGTAAGTATTTTTACAGGATGGTTATTTTTTTGAGAACTATTCTAATTTTAAAAGCTTGTTAATTATTTGCATACTTGGAAATTAAACTTTGATTTGTATTTGTATGGCTTAGGACATGATTGCTTAGAAATAAAGAGAATTTTGTAGATGATAACGAAAGAGTATAATCATATTATTTATTTCAATAATTTGGTATTTAATACTCAATGATAAATATCAAGAGTTAATTTTTGTTTCTCTGCGCAAACAACATTCTTTTTAGAAATGGAAGAGTAAAGTAGAAGAACTGGAGAGGGAGATTATTATACTTACAAAAAAATTAAAAAATTCAGAAACTGCAGGTAAAAATCTCATAGCATAAATATTAGATTGGGATCTAATAAATATGCATAAATTAATTTGTTCCATTTATCTATATGTATATTTGAAGAATTGTCTATTATATTTTTCGTAACCTTAACTAACCTGTACCATTTTTTTTTTTGATCCTCTTCCTTTTTTAATTAAATATGTGACCCTGTTCATTCCTCTTCATTTGTTCTGGATATGTTGATTGTTTTGGTTATGAATATATAATATTACTCTAGTTGTGGAAACTTGTATAATTAAATTATCATATTTGAGAAAAATGAAAACTGTTCAAGTGAATATAAATAGGGCAAACAAGGATCCAATAAACTACTTTACAACGCTGGGATTGAAACATCTTGAATTTCCTGAAGGAACCAAAAAAGAGCACATTAATGTTGTTATTAAAACAGAAAAAAATGAGATCCAAGTGACAGAAGATACTCAATTAATGAACATCATATCAACCACATCACAAATGCCCATTTTAATTTTTCATACAAGTAAGTAACATTAGATCTGGCATTTTACGGTTTTTGTTATATATTAATGATTGAAAAATCATTTTTTTAGTAGCACGGCCTTTTTCCAGTTATACCTTCCAAGAAGCCTCAAAGCTATTTAACCTTAAAGTAGACAGCATGGGAGAATGTCCAGTTTATCATCAAGGGATTGCAGACTTGGTTGGCATGGATCGCTACATTAATGATACTGTTTGGGACCTTATGGTAACTTTGATAATTTATTTCTTATTTACTAGATATATTATCTAATTATATGATATTTTATTAGTGTTTACATAGAGCATATGGTGATGTTTCTGGAACAAACGAAGCACAATATTCCGTTTTTATAAGAGCCGTTCTTGTTGGAATCATCCACACCTATAACCCTGCAGACAATTATCTACTCCTTGAACAAAAGGTAATTATGGGAATTTATGGAATGGGGCCTGTTGACTTTGTAATCAAAAAAGGAAACCAGTTTATTGGTGTAACAGAAGCAAAAAAAGAAGCCATTAGCAAAGGTTTCGCACAAAACCTGATCCAGTTGCATACTTCATATATGGTCAGTTTTTATATTTTCTTGTAACAATATATTTTTCATGATTCCTTATTATTATATTTGCATTTATTTATTTATTAGGAAAATCAAAAAAGAAATGATAATGAAGAAACTGATGGGTTACGAGTTCTATTTGGAATTGTTTCCACAGGTTCGCAATGGTTTTTCATCATTTAATTCATGGACCCAATAAAAAGTATCCAATTGTTCAGAAAAGTTCTCTTCCGCCCATCAATCTATCTGTAATTGGTCATGAATTTGATGAAAAAAAGGTAAAAGAGGAAGTTTCTGCGTTATTCAGTTATTTAAAATGGTCTATGGATTTATTTGTTGAGATTTTATATATGGATGATTCAAATGCTAAAAGGCAAAAATTAAATCTTTAAGTATTAGTTTATGCACATAAAACTATTATATAATTAGGAATATATTTATATTGCAAATGATAAAAATGTTTTTTTTAAAGTTTGTTCAAAATTAAAAGGTGGAAATGGTTTATTAGGTTAATAACTATTTATAATGTAAAACATCATTAGGCATCTAATTCTTAAATATTTGCATATTATATTACTTAAAAAATAATAATTAACTTGTAGAAAATTTAAATAATAAAAAATGTTGAAATATTTAATATGAATCTAAAAACTATTTTCAGTGATAATTGTAATTGCCAATTTTGAACCCTGAAATCTCTAAAGAGACATAATATTAATATTCACTTTGTCTGGTTTTGTTGCAGTATGCACCATGTCCAAATTTTGGTCAAAATTAAACATACTAGGAAATTTTAGACTATAATTTTAAATAAAGTTAATGTTAATAATAGGGATGTTAATCAGTCCTTTGGGACTGGGTCCCAAAAAGTCCGGGACTGAACTGTTTCAGGTTCGGTCCTACCATTTGGGACTTAAAGTCCCTATAAGTCCGCGTGTAGCATAAATATTTAAAAAAAATTCACATGATATATATATTTTTTCAAAATGTCATCATCAATTGAAAATAGCTTTGAAATCAATGGTGGATTTGATCTTTACAAACCAAATTGAAGCACAACAACAATCACAACCTTTTGTTTTTATTAATGGCAATGATGAAAAT